AAAAAAAAAAAAAAAAACAAATTAAGCAGAACTAAAATTTGAACAAATTAAAAAAAAATAGTTATATGTAGTTATAAATGTTTGTATACATATATTTGGATTTTTTTTTACTTTTTTTTTAACTTAAAGAAAATTGTTAGAAGTGTTAATTAAAAAATTGAACATTAAAACATATTTGGTAACTAACTGTTTTTGTTTAATGTTAATTTCCTCTACTCAGTTGTTTATGCAAATTTATTTCTCTAGTGCAAATGGCCAAAAGCTGAAGGAATATATTCATGCTACGCTTGGATACATTCACTCATTCACCCATTCACATTCGCGTTCGCATTCACAATAGCAATTGCAGTTGCAGTTGCAGTTGCAATTGCATTTGCAGGCTGCGTTAATTTTTCCGCCTTGTTTGAGGCCTGTCGATTGCATGTTGTAACAGGTTGGCTTGTAGCCGGGAATGCAGCCTGAGCAGTCATGGAAGAGGCAGCCGAAGTGGCAGTGGCAGCAGTGGCAGCAGTAGCCGAAGCAGCAGCAGCTGATAAAAGTATCTTGAATGTAAAATTCTTAACGTTTCGTTTTGGCATTTATTTGTTGTTGTATTTTCTTTTTTTTTTTTTTTTTTTTTTTTTTAAGTATTTTGTTGACAGCGTTATTTTTTTTTGTGCACTTTTGGGGTTGAGTGACGGCAAATGTTTGCAGTTTGTTTTCAGAGAGGGGCGGGCAGGGGCCTCCGGCTGATTCCTGGGATTTCTGTGGAGGGAGGGGGTGTGGGGGGCTTACCTCCAGGGTCTGTTACTGCGCGGAATGCATTCACGTTTTTTCCTCCTGTGTGTGTGTGTTTGTTTTTACGTTTGTTTCTTTTCGCATTTTGCATTTGGTTAGCCTGTTGTAATTGGCAATGAAAAATTCCAAGTGTTTTTCAAAGTGCTCTTTAGATGGCCTAATATAAGCCAACTAACTAACAAAGAAAGCAATTTCACACACACCAACAGCAATACCAACACACTCACACACGCAAGTAAATACTTTGAATAGGTAATAAAATTAAAAAATTTCAACAAAACAAAAAAAAAATAAAAATAAGCTGGAAGCTAACGTACGAACACGTATATGCTTGCCTAAGGAACCCAACCAACTCAATTTCCAACTGTTGCAGTTGCTGTTTCCACCCAGCGAAAAAAAAAAAAGCAACAACAAACACAAGTGTGCGGTCGAAGGGATTGCTCGACGAGCAGATACCCTGAACCAAACAAGCGGCAAGCTGTGCTTCTCTTAAGCAGGGAGTTCAAACTTTTGTAGAGACTGGGAAAATGCAGCCTGAATCAAAAGTTGAAAATAAACTATATCATTTATCTATTCTAATCGAGGAGGTATGCTAATATTTTCTTAATTGATCATTAAATCAAGTTGTGTTACATTAAAATCTAGTAACTGAGTCGATATATCACTATTTATCGCTAATCAGGAAATTCAAAGTGAGGAATTCCAAGGAATTCCAAAGTGAGGAATCTTTCATGGAAATTTGAAAACTAAGTTAAAACATCAATATTTATTATTATTATCATTATTATATTAATATACATATTTAGATAGACCCAAATCTTAAGGTACCTTCCTCACTTCACCTCATTCACAATCGACTTTTGTCAAATATTAATATACATATTTAGAGCTTCAAACATATATGCAGCTTCTCTAGTTTATGACTCAGATAGATCAGATCAAAGCACAGGCGTATCGTCTAGGCTTGCATCCCTAGGCTCTGTCCGTTACATACGCTTCCACATAGCCTATATACCCCATTTATCTAACCATTTGCAATAGGTTGAAAAAAAAAAAAACAAAAAGAAAAGAAAATAACAAAAAGTCATATGAAGCATTCCAAAGTGCATAGGAAAATATCAGTGCACAGTGCCTGCATTTAGCTCATTTAATGTAAAACATTTTTGCCCCAACACACAACAACTACAATTAACTGCATACATATGTACATATATATAAACATACACATACATATATATCTCCATATACATATTTACATTTATTGTTAGACGTACGTTTGCCCATTTTACACTTAAAACTTTAGATTCCGTTTGCCAAGCTGTCTAAAATTGAGAGTAAAACGTAGACCGAATGTTAAGACAAAAATAAGTAACTGTATCTAACAAAATCTTCTTCAACACCCCATCAGAGTTATCTTTATTCTTTACTCTCTATCCTAATAGCTAATAACAAATCAATCGACTCCAAAAAAACAGCTAAATCCAATTATATATCATGATTTTTACGCTTTTAATACAATTTATAGCTCAGTTTGTAGAATCAACTGCAAAACCAACTTATTTCCAAAGTTTAAGATTTTATGTATTGTTTTCATCTAAAATCTCAATTCTTAACATTTGAATATATTTTAGGTTTATTTTTAGCTTTAGCTATAAAGTTCTTATCGACTTGCCACTCCCACTGTGAGCGTACGTTCAAATCAAGATCAAACCACTTCCCCGATTTGGAGGTACCAGCTGTTAGATGATAAAATATTCAAAATTCAAGATTTTTCGATTTGCCACGCGCTGAAAGGGCGCGTCCCAAAAAAATGTGAGCTCTTTATGAAAGTGAATGTATTAACGAGTATATAAGAAGATGAAGAAGAAGAAGAGATAGACATACATATACGATTTTCAGACGGAGAACTACACGAAGTGTGCAACACTTAACTTCAAGGAAGAGTCTCTCTCTATGCCTTTTATCTCTCTATCTCACATTTCTCTCTCTCTCTCTCTTCTTCAATTTCTCGCTCTCTCTCTCTCTCTCTCTCTCTCTCGCTCTTTCGCATTCTCTGTAAGCATCTACATTTTTCTGTCTTTCTCTCAGTCTTCTCCTTTCAGGCTGTGTCTCTTTTCTCTCTCTTTCTATATCTTTCTCTCTCTCTCTTTCTATATATTTCTCTCTCTATTTACATATCTTTCTCTCTCTATCTATTTATCTCTCTCTCTATCTATCTTTTTCTCCGTCCATCTCTCTCCCGCTGTGTCTTGCTCCTTCTTTATTTCTGTATCATTTCCTCTCTACCTCTATCCCCCTCTCTCTCTCTCTCTCTCTCTCTCTCTCTCTCTCTCGCTCGTTCTTGGTTATCCACATTCTCTCTCCTTGCCTCACTCTCTTTCGCGAGAGAAACAACTCTCTGATCTGCGCATTATATATGATCTCTTCTCCAAAATTTAGATTTAAGTTGCTAGACCCAAAATTATTCACTGCCAAATAAATTATAATGTAAGGTCAAATATGTACGCAAATCGTTTACACACACATATGAGCACACACATATAAATACATACACACACACACATATATGTACATACATATTTGGTAAATACGTTACAAGAAATGTGTAAATAGAAATGAATGAATCGCGTTCATTGAAATGCGAAAGTCTTTTTTGGCTAGACTTTTCCTGATTTTGCCTAGTATGAGTTACTCTATGTGCGCATATATGTATGTACAATTATATATGTATGTACGTGCGCATATGTAGAATCTGCGTATGTATCTGTGTATCTCATCTTGAATTTTGTACTCGTATTTTATTCGTTTTCATGTTGTCTTGTCTTGTCTTGTGCTGCGTTTATATATAGACAGACTGACTGCGGATCGACATAGACATAGCCATAGCCACAGCCATAGCCATAGCCATAGCCATAGACATAGACATAGACATAGCCATCGACATCAACATAGACGTAGACATCGACATCGACCGTCTCTGCACACATGCTGAGCTGTTTTGTTCACTTTCAACACACTAGCCTTAATGTCTAATGATGTTTTGCCCCTTACACGCGTGAAGTAGAAAATTATTTTTAGTGCCCAAAATCAAATACAAATGTAATGAAATAAAAAGCAAAAAAAAAAGCAGAAATAAAAAAATAATTTAAATTAAACCCTTCGAGAACAAATCAGCAAACGCATTCGACTTGTCATTTGCCATTTGCCATTTCGCCCCACTGTGCGTGAATATACATATGTACATGCAAGCGCATATGCACTCATGTGTGCGTCTGCTTGTGTGTGTAGTGGGCAGTGTGGGCGGGCTGGGTCAAGCAAGAGTCAGCGGCAGCGGCAGCAGAGACAGTGGCAGACAATGAGTTACAACTGTCAAGTCGATTGCCGTTAAATCGCTCAAGAGCTCAAGAAGAAAGACGACGACGAATGCGAAGACGAAGGCGACGTGCGCAGTTGGCGTCGTTAAAAAAAAAAAAAATATTAAAGACACGAAGCTGAATTGCCGAGGCGCGCGCTCTGTGCGACATAATCCCAACCCCCGTGGGGTGTATCTCATCATCGGGCCGTTGAGAGCGCTCTTTGAGCGACCATCATGATTTACATGTGTGCGTGTGCGTGTGGGTGTGTGTGTGTGTGCCCACAATATTATGGACATTTCATAACTTGATGTATTTCTTTGCGTTTTCGACGAAGACTCCCATCCTTTCCTTTGCACTCGCGGCGACCCACACACACACGCACTGCGCTCATTGAGTGCAGCTCGCTGATGCTATCTCGCTCGCACGCCGAGTGAAAAAGCGCAACAATCAGCTGTTTTGTGAGCGACCCAGCAACATGTAAAGCGATGGCGGCAAATTACAAAACTTTGCCAATATGCGCAACAATGTTCGATGCTCACACACACTGATCCCGAGCAAGAGTCGAGCTGAGCAAACCCCCAAACGGTGCTCCGTCGACCAAGCAACAACAATATTAACATCAACAACACCACCAACTATCCACATAGTGCCACTCACACTCACATTTGCCTCTTGGCTTATGTTGTTTCAAAAACGCAGATCGCATTATGCACCCCACTAGGCGCAATGCATGCATTCATATGTATGTATGTATGTATGTGTGCGTGCATGTGTGCGTGTGTGTATTTGGTTCAATTTATGGCAATTAATGCATTGGAGGCGTGCATTTTAAGTGCCTGTGCTCAGTGACAATTTTATGGGGTTCAACAAACGCTAATTTCATACAAGCTGCAACATGAGCACACGCACGCACGTACACACATACATATGTATGTATGTATGTATGTACACACTTGTAAACATAACAAAGAATATGATTTCTTACATTTGTTAATTGACACTTACGATATTTAGAGAACGTCAAGCCCATGTTAATAACTTGCGAATCGCATAGCAGAGCTTTGTCTAAACATCTATTTTTGTACTCTGTACTTTGAGCTTAATTATTCAATTTTCATTGGGATAATCTTATTTCCACATACATATTTTGAGCTCATTAATAAACATACATACATATGTATGTACATGTATTGTACTTATTGTATATGTATGTAGAACTAACTTGAAAATCGCAAAAGAGAACCATGGCCAAAATTTCATAATTTGTCTCTACTTCGTGCCCACGCATTACATTTAATCTTATCATATTTTCTACAAAGCAGAAGGAACAGCACTTGTTTCACAAACATATTTAAGATCATTATTATAATACATATATTTCCTATATCTAGATTTTTTCCAACTTATGGGTTGTATACAAAGCAGATAAATTACTACTACTACTATTTAGTATAAGTACTACTCCCCACTCCATCCAATTAATTGTTGGCATTGTACGAAAGTCAAAGTTTGGGCCAGAACCGGCGCCAAAATATGAAGTGATAGAACCAAAATAGAAAAATAAAGCAAAAAAAAAAAAAAAAATCACACACACAGAAAGCAGAAAAAATGATTTATGTTAAGTGCTGCGCTGAGAGAGCCTGGCAATCGGCACACAAGTATCTTGCAGGAGCTGCCCACACACACAGAGACACGTGCAATCACACTCGTCTCTTACAGCTCTTTCGCTCTCACTCTCTCTCTCTTCCACATTTCTCAAACACTCAAACACTCAATTGGAATAAGTGGAGGCTGAGTGAATTTCGGTAAAGACATGTCACTTACACTGTGTTACAGGATTATCGTAATATCGTTAATTATCATTAGCAACATCATTTATTTATTGATGAGCAATATAATATCAAATAACTTATATGATATATAATTTAGTAGATGCAATCAATCAACATATGTGGATGTGTGTGTATGTGTATGTGTGTGTGTGTGTGTGTGTGTGTGTGTGTGTGTGTGTGTGTGTGTGTGTGTGTGTGTGTGTGTGTGTGTGTGTGTGTGTATGTAGCTGTGTGAAATTAAAATACATTCTATGCATATTAAATATTTTTAAAACATAATAGATTATTGACACCT